CTTGATTGTGTTTGATCACTAGTTGGTTCGCGTTTGTGGGACTTACACCAGCCTCCAAACCTCATAAAACCCTAAATCGACCCTTAAGCCTCCTTTGTGGTATTCTCGAGCTCTTGAGAATATTTTGATGGTTGATTTTCCCTTTGTGAAGGAAGTAAAGGAGATTGAAGGCAGTTTTCTTGGTGGGAAGATTATGGATCCAGATTCATCACCCTTGTTGCAAGCTTTTGAGATATCAAGTTCAAACCTTGCTATTTCATTTCATAGATATACTCATTGGCATGTTTTGGTCATTTTTGGTCCTTTTGGTTGGTGACTGGGAGTTAAGGTCGTTTTTGGAGCTTAGCCTTTTCGATATGGACATATTAAGGGTTCCTTGGGCACAAAGGTGCAAACTTTATGGTGGTTGTGGTCTCATGCATGCATTAAGTTGTTTATTAAGCTCTTTTGATCTCTAGAGCCCCATTAAGCCATGCATGCACATAAAGTTGGCAACTTTATGTGATTAACCACCTTAGGAAAGTCAGATTTGAGTTTGGATCGAAGTCTTATTGGATTAAGAGCTGAATTGGGAAAGTTGGCAAAACTGGTGAGTACGTGGGGCGTATAAGCATGTACGTTGTGCGTACAAACCTTTTAAGTTGTATGATGCGCGTACAGGCTAAGTACGCCCAACGTACTCAGCAGGTTGGATTTCTTTGGGCTTGTGTGGGCTTGATTGTTTTGGGCCATTTGGACCATAAGAATTGATTGGTTGGGTTGTTGAGTTTTGTTTGTATTTTCTTGGGGAAAGGCCCATGAAAGGGATTGGGCCCAATTTTGAAAATTGGACCATATTTGGGCCTTAGGTGCTTATATTGGATCTTGGGCTTTTGGACATTTGGATTGGGCCTTGGCCTTGGACCAAGTTAGAGGAAGGGTAAAAAGGTCTTTTACCCTAAGTTGGACTTTTAGTGAGAGTTAGGACTCAATTATTAATTTATGGTCATTTGGTATTTGATAGCGCGAGGATTTTAGCGGATCTACAGTCAGAGTCTTATCCGTAGGTTTCAGCTGTCTGAGGTGAGTTTTCCTTACTATACTTACGGTTCGAAGGCACCAAGGCCGGCTCATTGGTTTGATAACCTGATATTCGTTGATATGATGAGTATGGAATACATATGCATGCTAATTTTTGATATGCTAGTTGGTAGATCTGTAGGACTACCTGTGATACTGTATGTATGATTATTTGTTATGCTATTATCTATTATATGTTGACATATTGTGAGGGTTGGGTTGATGTTGTACTGCTTCATGCGGTAGCCAACAAACCCTGGAGCAATCTATATATGAGTTGAGGGTTGGGTAGGGCATGTCAGACTCATACTGAGGGCTCATGTGTTTTTCGTATACGAGCTGAGCTCGGGTAGGGCAATCCAGACTCATACTGAGGGCCAAACTTATGCTGTGGGCTCAGGGGTAATTCGGTCTGTTAGTTGTGGACCCATTGCATGTTGTTATTGTATATGTGTTACTTGTTTGTGTGATGGTATTTTGGGGGAACTCACTAAGCTTTGGGCTTACAGTTTTAGGTTATGTTTCAGGTACCTCAGATTATCGCAGAAAGGCGAAGGCGTGATCGTGCACCTCCTCGTGTATTGATTTATGATTTTGGGATAACTCTGATATTAAACATGCTTTGAAAACTATATTGTAAACAATTGTGATTTTGGGTTGGTTTTAAAAGTAAAAAATATTCATGATTTTTATGGATGTTACAGATTTTTGAGATGTTACATAGGCTTACCCTCTTTAGATGTGTAATGGGTTAAGTTTTTACTATAAATAGGAAGTGAGATGCTCCCATTTAGGTAAGAACGTGTGACTTTGTCTAGAGAGAGAAATATTGCATGAACCACTTTGTAATAACTTTCTAGACAAATGAGAGCTAAAACCGTATTATTTACATTGTGTGTTCTTCAATATTGTTTGATTCACTTTATCAGTTCTATTTCGCATTTGTCATCATTCGCGGGATCTTACAAAGATATCAGTTATATTGATTCAAAAATTCAAATTAATTAACTTGCTTATTTAATGAGTTTTAAAATTCAAACCATTATCTCAAATTGATTCATTTTAAGTGGGATATACTGAGAGATAAATTATGAATAATATTGACTTTAATTTTGACTCTCAGATATTTTGCTGATTTAATAAGATTAGATTATATTTTATAGGTTAATAACCGAATTATTGATATGCTTATTTAATGAGTTTTTTCAAAACGAAAATAAAAAATTGAACAAGTTTAAATTTTGAAGCCAAAAGCTGTAAATAAAAGAGTTAAATTAGAAACAATATTAATTAGGTAAACTGATATCTCGTATAAAAATAGAATGATATGCTTCAATTTATAACATAAATGTTGAATTTAAAGATTCTATATTCTATAATTAAATATAATTGTGTTTGAATTCTATTTGGGGAATATAGTGTCAACAATTTGATCTAAGGGTGTAAAACATAGGATTGAAATACAATCAAGGGCCCTGATTGCTTCATTGGTCAATTAAGGGTTCTCTTTTAATAATATTTAGAGATTATGACACGTGAAATTCATTAATTCTAATAGTAAATATTTTATTTCTCAAAACCATTTCACTTAGACTATTCGGTACGGGCTCGTGGAGGGATGTTTTTGTCTACGTGGAGGCGCCTTAACGCCATGGTAACGGTTGTAATACCGCCCCAACCTCTAGTTATGAGATGTGGTGTTATGAAATGTGGTAACGAGTGCAAGAGGCAACATCCAATCAAATCATTTTTTTCTCTTCTCTCTCTCTCTCTCTCTCTCTCTCTCTCTCTCTCTCTCTCCCTCTCCCTCTCCTCTTATTACTATGTTATAACATGGAAACACCACCTCCACTCCATGTTATAACATATTAAAATGTGAGATGACAATATTTGACTTGATAACCTGAATTGCCCACCCAATGGTCTTATATTTGTTCTTGATGGGGACAGGGTTAGGTGTCTGTTGCAATACTGAACAAACCTTTTTTTTTAATTTGCTTTAGATGGGTGGGAGCGGGCAACGTGAAGGCGCGTTATTCCGACGTGACAGCGGGATAACGTCGTCATAACGCTAGGAACACCGCCCCCGGGTCCCCATTTTTAGGCATTATGTTAGCGTGCGTTATGGTGGCAACGAGAAGAAACGGATGAATTGTGTCGATTTTTTTTGGTAACGATCATAAAATGGACCGTTGAAGAACGGTCAAAATGTTAAAAGAAACTATTTTTTTTTCAATTTTTACTCAACATATATATACATTTTCACTTCAAATTTTACTCACCATTTCTCACTTCGATTTTTACATACCATTTCTCAATTCATTTTTACACAAAACACCATATGGATCAAAACCCAACACTCATCCTCCAAACACAAATACATATCCGCCTCTCGGTTTTGCACAATACGAGTTGTACGCGGACATCCTCAACACTCAAGGCATACCGTAACTTCCAATTCCCGACAACTTTTTCAATCCCGCCTCACCCCACCACAATTCCCTACAACCCTTCCACAAAACATTCTCAACACATTCGCTACAATGCAACCAAATACCACACAACCACCACCCACGTAAGAAACAGCACCCGAAACGCAAGCCGGGGGGAGGGGGAGCCGAAAAAAAACCGACCAACAAAGTGAGAGCAAGAAGGAAAGGTAAAGCGGTCGTGGTGGAGGATTCGGAAGACGAACATCCAACATGGTGGACTGCAGAGGAAGAATACGCGTTGGCGGTGTCACGGTGTGGGACATCAAAAAATCCAACTCAAGGAAGCAATATGAGAAAAGTCGCTTTTTGGGAAGTTGTGATAGGGAAATTTCGGACCATTTTGAAGAAGGATGCAAATTATCGCAATCACGATATGTTGAGTAGCAAATGGACTCAAATAAGCAAGAAGTTCACCAAGTTCAATTCCATCTACAACAAACTTTCCTCGCACAAGCAACGTGGTGCGAACGATTTTGATGTTTATAGAGCGGCGAGGGTCCAATATCATGTCGAGACGAGTCATTTTTTTAGCACGAAAAGATTTGGGAGATTGTTAAGGAAGACCTAAAATGGAATAAAACGGACACATTTCCGAAACAACAATCCAAGAGGTCTCGCGGCTCATGTTCGATCGACGTTTCGGACGTAAGCACGAACATCGACCTCAATGTGGACACAGATGAGATACCAGACGACTTCAACGACATCGAAGAGATCTCCCCACCTCGACGACCGATAGGTCATGACAAAGCGAGGCGGGCTCAACGACATGCAGTGGAAAGCGAAAGTAGACTTCGAGAACAAGCGAAAATGAAACAGAAATTCGACGACCACAACGAAATCGCGCGTAAAAGATATGAGTTGCACTATGAGCATTTGTAGTTCCTTCGTCGTGAAGCCGATGAAGATCGCATTACGAAGGAGTTGACAATTCTTCAAACTAGTGAGGAGAATATGCCACCGAGACGGGCGGAGGTGTTCCGAAAAATGAAGGCAAAGATCGAGCGGAAATATTTAGGCGAAGAATAGTGTATCGGTTTTATTTTTTTAAAATTATTAGGACTATCGTATGTTTTCGGTCAATGTTTTTTTCCTTTGTAATTTCGTTTTTATTTTTAAAATGGTATGTTTAATTAAATATTTAATTTAATTATGTTTTATTAATTTATATGTTTTTTTTATATTATGACATAAATTAAAAAAATAAAACAAATTAGAAAAATAAAAATTAAAAACATCAAAAAAAAATAATAAATAGAAAATGGGAGATGTTATGACTACGTTATTTGATTTTGACCATTTTCATATATGTTATAACCAAAAGTATGACTAGATCGATGAAATTGGACATTTCGGGTTTTTTTTTTTTAAGATTTTGGCCTTTTGGGTGTGCGATGTAATTAGCTTAACAACAAATATAAGACCATCGTTTTTAATTCACTATGGCGGGAAAACACACATAAAACTCCTCCTCTCTTTCTCTCTCTCACACACACATACACAAACACAGACAAGGAGAGATGTCTAAGTTCGATTATCCGAAACTCCCCCGGAAAGAGATCATCGGAGTACTCGCCGAATCACGAATCGTCAACGTCTCCGAAGCCGAACTCATCAATCCCAGGCCCGATGTCGTCAACAATATCTACACTCAAATACTCGTCCACATCGGCTGTCTCCAGTACAGTTTTCTAAACCCTAATGTCTTTTTACATTTACAAAGTATCTGTCTATCAAATTTCCCAAGTATCTGTTGAATTTTCAGGGAAGATTGCGGACTAGTCGAATTCGTAGACCTAGAACAACTTGAAAACCCCGATTTGCATGTTGACTCTGTAAGAATGATGAATTTGTTCAACAAGATAAGGGGAGTCATTTCCGCCCTCGACTGCCCTAAGAATTTCACTCTAAAAGATCTCATTAAGCCTGAAGGCGATCGCACTGAGTTTTTTATTGGTACTATCCTTAATTTTTGCCTTCACAGGTATTTTTTCATTTAATTCATCATTTTGGAATTCTTTCAGTTTCTTCTCATGTAAACCCCAAATTGTTTGAATTAGTTAGCCATACATTTTGGAATTGCGCTCGGCTACATTTTGCATCTTGTGATTTACTGATTTATATACTTCCTTTTTACTATGAAATTTCACAACTTTACCAAGTTGTATATAGCATCCACTTTTAATCATGAAAAAATATCATCATTTTGCCATCAACATAAGATATTATGTTGTTTCAAACATCCTAGAGACACAAGAATGGAGCTAATAAAACCAGTCGTGGAAGATGTGACAAATCTTGATGAGCAACAACAAGCGATTGAAAATAGAATATCACAGGTAGGTGTAAAAAGTTATAATTGGTTATTTATTCAATCAGACTGAAAATTCGCTAACTATGCATATCTTGATTGTAGTTAAATGCAGAATTACTAGAGTTTAATGAATCAAGAGAAAAGGAGATGCCACTAATTCAAGAAGTTGACATCAAAATTAAAGAACTACGCCAAACAATTTCATCTCTTAATAATCAGCAAATGTCCCTAAAGGCTACATTTAGAAAAAAGAAGGATGCAGTTAAAGAAATGGATGAAAAGGTACACATGTTCTTGATGTTGAAACGATTGATTCATTATGAATGTTAATTTGGATCCTCTTTTTCTTTTTCTTTTAATAATTGGATCCATATAATCCTTGTTGTTTTTCAGATTTCAAGTGCAGAGTTTGCTTTGGTACAAAGTGCTCAAGAAAATGCGAGTCTGCGTTCCAAAATTGTTCAATCTCCAGATAAACTACAGGTGGAAGTTATTTTAGTTTTTCATCATTAAACTATTAGGTGAAAATGTTGTTTAACAATCAAATGAAGAGATATATAATATAATTCTTTCATAACTTTAAGAGGGCATTGGAGGAAAAGAAAGGAGTTCAAATTGAGGCTAAGAATGCAGAAAGAGAAGCAATGCAGTCTTTTCATGAAAAATCTGCCATCCTTGAAGTCTATGCAAAGGTAATAATATTACATAGTTGTGGATTATGATCAATTTTATTAGTATTTGGTAATGGCAAATTGGTAAATTTGCATGAATGTTGTTTTTCAGGCTAGCAAGAAAATGAGCAAACATTTGAAGCAGATGCAGGCATTACAAGAGCAGGTTCTGTTACAAATCAATGAAACCACATTATTTTTTTCTTGAATTTAACTTTAAAAAATTACAGAAAAACAGAAAGTAGTTTCACCATTTTATTGATTTAACCATTGTTTTTAACAGGTGAACTCAGCCAAACAAGTTGAGAAAGATGTGAAGGTGTTGAAAGTTAAGAATAGTGATGATGGGGTGTTGGATAAATCACTTGAAGCCAAATTATTTGAACAACAAGGCAGAGGTTGTTCTTTATAAAGTTTTATATTTAAGGCGCCCAAAACTTCAAATTTTTTATATATTTTTTTTCTTATATAAATTTCCAGCGGACCAATTAGAGGAACTACTACAACAATTAGAAAAAGAAAAGGATCTTAAGTGTGAAGAGGCTTCCAAAGAACTTAATAATGTGAGATCACAAGTGGAATATAATAGACATGGATTGGAACAAAGGCAAAAAAACATAGAAGCTCTGGTTGCAGAGGTATGGATTTTTATAAATTTTTGAAACGGATATTGTTTTTAAATTTTTTATATATTATTTGAAACTTGTTAGGTGGCTGCTATAAATGAAAAGATTAATGTGGAGAATGATTCAGCAACAGCTAAACAACAAATATTATTCAGTAAATGTGAAGAGATTACTAAAGAGGTGAAAGTGTATTTCTGAACTTTTTTTCAATAAATCTTTTGTGGAGTATTTTCTATCATCCTAAAATGATAAAATTTTATATTGGGTGTAGTTTTTGGAGTACACAAATTCTACCGGGCAGTTGCTTTCAAAGATTGGGGAAGGAGCTGATGGCTTGGCAAACTAACTGATGGATATTTTATGTTTTGATGAATCTCTATTATTTATGGTGCTTTATTTCTTTTAAATGTTTATGAAGCTCAAGTGACAATCTCTTAAGTTGTAACAGAGATTGAAGAGCTTATATGTTATCTCTAAAGAAACATGTTTACTAGTGTTTTTAACTTGGTTTATTCGTATGTAGAAGATTAGACTAGAGTGGATGAAGTTTGGAGAAATGGATGTATGAATGTTGTATAAACCTTAGAATTGTTTAGCTATTGTACATTTAACGGATATTCAAAATGTCGTTATTATTTTCTTAAGCTTTGATATTCAAAGGCATTACAAATTTAGCTTTTGTCACATAATATGGTTTATGAGTTGAATCGATATCGTAGAGAATTTAAATATATTGAAAGTGAAGATAAAAATGTACAGCGCATCTAGTGTAGTGGTATCATAGTACCCTCCCACGGTACTGACCGGGGTTCGATTCCCCGGATGCGCATTTTACGTTTTTACACGATTTATTTTTTCTGAAAAATCTTGGAATTAAAAAAAAAAAATACACGCCCAGTGGGACTCGAACCCACAATCGCCTGATTAGAAGTCAGACGCCTTATCCATTAGGCCATGGGCGCAAGTTTGATCTATAATCATAATCAAAATTCTTTATTAATTAGTTCTTTTAGAACTGAAATTTTCACAATACAAAATGTTTGTTCCAACTATAAGTCCAAAAATTGAAAGAAAAGAGTATAAAAAATATTTTACAATAAATTCGGCACAGGTGATATCAAAATAAAATTGAAGTAAACCTTTATTTTTAGTCTTTTATCGTAGATATTTAACATTTGGTTATAAACTTTTGTTTTTTATTACATTCCTATATATTAATGCACCAATAATTATCAGGTATCTAAAAGTAGGTTTTAGTTAATAAGAAATGATTATCAATTTTGGTTAGGATTAATCAAAGTTGAGAAATAATTAAAATATGGACGAGATACAAACTTTATATAAAGAGAGGAAAAGGAAGGATGATTTTTGCAGTACAACAAATCAACAATTGACATCTAAGTAAAGATTAAACTTAAAATCATGTAAAACCCAACACTATGATTGGTATGTATTTTAAAGAAAATTTCTTTGAAATGATCCTGAAGAAAACCTTGAAGTCAATCCTTGTGCCATATTCTCAGCATCCAACTTGACATTCTGTCGTCCACCTGTCAAATCTTTTTCACGATCCCATGGTTTCCAAGGATGCTGTCCCTCCCATTCATCTTGTTTCTTCTCTTTTCCTCCCTCCTCCACCTTTGACTTTTTCTTTGACCGAACCCGAGTGGACTCTAAATGCTTTTCCACCAATGATTTTGACCTTTTTGCTTTGTTGTATTTGTCCACCAATTCCGCATCCGCATTACGTTTTCCCTCGTCTTGAACAACCCCCGCAGCAAGTGCTGCAGCCTGATTATACGCCTCCAAATAACTGCATAAAGGGTATTTTAGGTATTTATTGAAAGAGAGTAAAACACGTGCAACAATCAAGAATCAAGAAACATACTTCATTTTTGCTTTCTGGGCTCTGTCTGAAGGGGTATCGGTCCATGCACTGGTGTCACCACGCCCCTCTTTAGAAGTCCTGTTAAATGCTTTTGTTGATTGCTGTGTTGCCACACCAGTCTGAGGAGGATAAAACAGTAAAAAGAAAACAATAAGTAGAGAGAGAAAAAAGTTATTAATAATAAAATAAAAATGAAGGATTACTTTTCTTTCGGGAGGTAGTGTTGTCATCCATTCATCTCTTGTTCGTTCGACTTTTACATCCATGTCTGCTAAGAGTGCATCATCACCCTCCATTGAAATACCTGCCAACCACCACCTTTCCATACTCACTCCACTAATAATAGAAATTATAATAATTATGGAGTTGTAAATGTTAAAAGAAATTAGTTTAGTTTTTTACCTTGCAAACGCCTCCATTGTGCAGCTTCACGCATTGCTTTCAACTCCAACTACAAAAGAAAAGAAATGCAAAAATATTAATATTAAGATTAACTAATAAGTAATAACTAATAAGTAATAACTAATGGTATTCTGCTATTAGGGAATGTAAACATGTACCTTAAATCTTTCCTTTTCCTCCTTCTCGTCAATTTTGTCATCCATTGCTTTTCGCTAAAATTAAAAACATACAAATTTTTCAAGATTCCATGGTAAGTTTTTCAAGATAGCATTTGCATAGTAGTACTACTAAGTACTAACCTTGACAGGATCCTGTAAATCTTTAAAAGCTTTATTCAACTTAATGAATGCTTGGTGGGCTTCTGGATGAGTGCACTTGTCAGGGTGAACCATAAGAGACAGCTTCCAATATCTGAAAAACCCCACATTAACTTAATCATTAAACTGTAAAAAAAAATAAAAACAGAAATGATAAGCATCAACTTGCCTTTTCTTAAGGTTGTCTGCTGCCATATGCCTATTGACACCAACAATATCATATGGGTTGTCAACCTCTGCTCCCATAATTCTTGTGACCTGATCAAATAAAACTCAAAAAACTTAATATGCTAATGTTAATATATCTTTAAGACTAATGACCTTCTGAAATTTTATAGGGTGAAACAATAACAGATTGACATGATGTGATTCTTATAATTTCATGCCACTTATCAAGAATTACTTGTCAATGGTTGCATGCACAACACTAAACACTTGACTTGATAAATTTGAAAACCTTTATTACCTCAAATCAAGACATGCATTCCTAAAAGAAAAATATACACATCATTTTGAGAAATACATGAAGGGCTAAATGCAAAAATTAGCAATGTGCATTCCAAACTTTATTATCACATCATTGCACTTTCATTCTTCTCATTACAACACCGTGCTTCTAAATTATTTCTTCTAATTGTACTTTAAGAAATCATTTGAAAATACGATATTGTAATAAGAAAAGAAAGTATAATGTTGTAATGAAAAAATGAAAAGTACATTACCCTTTGTTGCATATAGCCCATGATGTTTTAAACATATACTGTTAACTAGTTACTGATAAGATGAACTTCAATGTCAAAAAAAAACAATAGATGGTTTTGATAGGTATGCAAGTTTATTAACAAGTTATTTGAAAAAATACAACTGAATGAAGAGAAAAGGTTCTGAAAAGCAAAGTAGGTTAAGACCTCCTCAAAACGCTCTGCATCATTGGCAGATGCAGCCTCGTTGACCACAGCAGGAGGTGGAGGTCCAATAAATAGTGCATCATCTTCACCAATTTCAGCTTCCCTACATTTATCAAAGCTATATTAACTAGCAGTTTTGGAATTATATTCAACAAAACAGATATATTCATCCGAATCTAATTTTTCATAAAATCAATTCTTGAATCTTGAGGAGGCATTATATTAGAAACTTCCATACATACCTTAACTCAGCCTCTGCTTCAGTTAATTTAGCTGCTGCAGCAAGCAGTTCAGCAGATGGCATTGCAGGCCCAATAACCCTGAAGACTCAGCAGCAGATTTGCATAAGTTAATCATGTTAGGCTAATCATTCTAGAATAAACCTTCCTCTCTGCCAACACATTTCACTTTAAAACTACAGCAATCATGGATCGAATTAAAACTAATAGGCAAGTAATGTGAAACCTTACCTCTTCCTAGGAGCTGCAATGTCTTCTTGTGCAGATGGAAGATTAGAACCACCATCAGCAGGTTTGTGTTTTTCAGCATACACATCATCATTTGGTTCATGATCATTAGTAACAGGCCTTTGAGGTTCTGATTTAGGTCGTATAACAGCTCCAACAACTTCCAGAGTTGGAGGAACATCAGAAGGCAAGAGAAAGACTAATCGACCATTTTCATTGAGTTTCAAGGACACGAACAGCTTTCGCAGGTATTTTACTAAAGACTTCTCAGATAGACCAGATATATCAACTGCTTGTCCATCATCAATCATACGCAGAAGCTGATGAAAATTCAAGTGATCAGTAAACTCAGCAAGACATATTCATTTTTACATTACATATGATTAAACATGTTGCAGAGTGAGTGACACCAACTGTATTCCTATATTTGATGAAACAGAACAGCTAAGTGGTACACAACACACAGTTCTAATTAATGGGAAAATGGGTAGGATCAGTCAACAATGCTATTGTCTACTTTGGAGTGAATTGAAATACACTAAGATGAAGACTTATTCCCTTCGTCCCAATAAATGCAAATTTAAACTTGTCACATAGTTTAATAGAAGTATTTGACTAATAATCAACTGACTAAAATAAACCTTTATAATATAAACTTGAGGACTACAATCAATATAGCCAATGGTTGTTCTGTTTGTCATAGAGTTTACTGTAAAATCCATGTCCGTTTTGGAGGTGTAAACCAAACCATTTGAAACGCATCAACTGCAGTTCTTTACTAGGAAAGAACTAAAAAAACGTAGCAGCATCACCTTCTAGGCTTCTACATTTGTCAAAATATGATTCCATATTGTTAGCAGAAACCCTAACAAATAGTTTGCACCAACAGAACCTATTTCCTTGACCTAGATTCAGTATCCCTGTTAGCAACACAAAAGAAATTCCTACACTACTAAATCTGTAAATTCATATGCGAAAATCAGCCTATGGAATTCCATTCAAAGTTCAAACGCAAGAGACAGTCGAAGGTAAGAAAATAGCACCTGCTCCAAATCATCAGCAACAGCAGGGAACTCATCCAATATATACTTCACCACCTCTACAGGATCACTCGCAGGCAAATTACTATTATCATCAGACAATCCGTATTCCTTCTCCTTCTCCTCCGACTCTGTATCTGAATCTGAGCCCCTCCTTTTTCCTTCTCGATATGATCTCCGGCTACTGCTCCCTTTCCTTCTATCTTTATCACTTTTATCTCTCTTCTTTTTCTTCCGCCTCTCTCTCCTCTTCTCTTTCTCTCTTCTAGAACTCCCCCTTTCGCTGCTCCGCCGGTGCCGATGCCTCCGGCTGCTTTTGTGCCGCTTCGAGGAAGATTCGTCGTCGCTTTCAGAAGAAGAGATCGAAGCCGACGATGATGGAGATGAAGAGACGGAATCTTCCAAGTACCTCCTCTTCTTCTTCGTTTTATAGGAGCCTTCCCCCATTTGTTTGTTCAATTATCGTACAAGACCTCCCCTCTCGTTTTTAGCCAGAGATATAGACGGCGGACTGGCGGAGCAATGTATTTTACTAAATTACTCTACACCCCTTTAAGATAGTATACTTTTTAAATACCCCCTTTAACTTATCGTGGGGATTCCAAACCGATCTATTAAATTATTTGGTATTATGTATATAAAAAGTCAAAATAAAAAATAAAAAATTAAAAGTGGTCAATAGGATCACATCCAAAAGGGAACAAAATATATATATATATATATATATATATATATATTAAAAGTTTGTTCCTTAGGAACAGTTATGTAATCTTATTGGAACACTTTTAATTTTTTTTTCAATGTCTGATTACTTTCTTGAACATGTGTTGTGTTACGTGGTGTATTCTCAATCAACCGTTTCAACTGTCCAATGGCTTTGCTCTAGGTAACACGTGTTAAACACTTCTTTCAATTTCAGTCTCTTCCTTATTCACTTCACCTCTACCTTCGCCGATGATTTTTTTTCTTTCTCACTCCTCGAATGTCTCGAAAAATCTTCACGACCTTCGTATCTTCAACCTTTGAATCCACTGTCGATCGTTTTGGGATTTTAGGGCTTTCAAAGCGAAAGATGCCAGCAACAGTGAAGGTTAGGTTACAGGACCTCAGACCTGTTCTCCATGCTTCTAGAGGTTTCTTGCCAATCGTTTATTCATCACTTCCTTAATCACCATATATCGTTGATTTCGGTTCCGCTTAAGAACCCACCTTTAGTGAGTCGTTCTTTTACTTTTCATTTTTTGTTTTTGTGCGATACCCATCCCGATCTTTAACTTCGACTTATCTCCAGCTGCTTTCCTTCTTTATTGTGAATCACATCTGCAACCGTTCTATTACACAACATAAACCTTCAACCTTATTGAGTATATCGACTTTTGAGAGACACAATTTGAGTTTTCTAAATACCGACCTCTTTCTATCACCGCTTCCGTTTCTCTAATTTTCCACCAGCGATTCTGCTGTTCTTCAGGTTTCTCTTGTGACTTTCTTCTTTCGTTTGTTATGTTCTTTTATGTTGTGTTATTTCATGTAATTTAGAGTTGTATTAGGTTCATGTGGTTCAAATAATCTTCTTTTGTGTTTTCTTCTGTCTTTTGTTCATTTTACATGGAACCTGTTTAATTTCTATGTTGAAGTTATGCACTTTCTAATTGACTGCAACAGCTCCACTCCTTTGTCGAAGTTCTTTGGGAACACCTAAGAAACCTAAAATTTTACCGCCTTCGCCACAACCATTACCACCGTTTTCTATCATCGTTGTCACCTCTTTTTATCCCCACCACAATCATTTGCCTTCGCTTCTCTAAAATCTTGTTTGAGTTGTTTTCTATTTCCGGTTTGTGATAAGAGAGACACACGCACAAAGATGCTCCAGCATATAGGGTTCACAGAAAATAGATGGATTGAAGTTGAAGGTTTTACATCTTTTTTTGACGACTCCTTCTAATTTCTACGTAAGTGTTCACCTCTTATTTCAATGAATGGACATATGTACCCTTATTTTCGCTCCGTCTTTTTTGTAAAGAAATCAGACTTTGAAATCTCCTCCGTCGTCATTGGTTGTCAGTTGTTAGGTCGAACAAGAAATTAGAATTTGTAGGAGTGGATGGAGACTACACAAACTAAACATCAACTATAAGATCGTTTTAGAAATGGATTGAGTTTCCCTTTTTACTTTTGTCCATCTAGACAAAGATGGAAGCTTGATGAAAGTCGCTACCAGTTTTACCAGGTGGTCGATATAATGTTAAGGTAAGTTATATCTTCATGTGTTGTTTTTTTAAATATAATTTATAAGGGATGCATATCATGATGGGTAACAAGAATCTACGAAGAGAATCCAAGTTTACAGTAATTGATGCTGACCTTCCTAGATTCTTATTACCGCTTGGAGAGGAAATAAAATGAAATAAGAACACACAGTGAGATGGGATCTTAGAATTTGGAGATGATCAAGCAATGGATAACAAAACATGTTTCTCACCACAATGAACTGACACTAAGGTTGGATTTTAGAATTTATTGATTTATGTCAGGTTATCATAGTGTTGTAGCTTATCGGAATGTTGGGTTTGAGATTTTGATGCGGATAGGTTGGATTATATTTTTTCGTCTGCCATCTGTTCAATAAAATGCTTAAGTGAAAAGTATTTTTCTTAACTTCTGTTATGTTTTAAATTACTTCAAAGCTTTAGTTGGTGTCTTTATCTCTAAAAAAGAAAAAATAAACACTACACTTCTTTTAAGTCACTTCAAGAGTTCAATGTTTTAATTTGTAACAATCCGCTTAGTATTGGCTTTTGTGGAATTGACTTAAAACTCTTCATTATAGAGAATATCATATGTTGGTAATTGTGAAAGTTCACACACCTTGTACATGTGTTGAATATGGATGCATTCAAGATTTGAGTCATGAATCATTACAAGCTTTGAATCATTCGAATTTTATAACCATTCAGGCTTCTTAATAATTAATTTGTGTAACACCGTAAATTTTCAAATAAAATTTTCATTTTAAAACTATGTAATTTTCATTTACACATCTCACAAAATCTCTGAAGTACCAAATTATCAAAACACAATTTCATAATTGTTTGAATAAAAATCCAGGATCCTCAAAAGCATAACTCCATCTCGTGTGTACAATCAAGCCGGCACCTTCCCGCGATCCTGAGAAGTACCTGAAACACATATCACACAACACGGTAAGCACGAAGCTTAGTGAGTCCCCCCAAATACCATACACATCTCATTAGCCTCTCATGGCTATACTCGAATAAGACCCTCCGGTCAATGTGTCTCAGTGGAACCCTCCAGTCCCACAACTCGGGTGGACCCTCCGGTCCTAACTCAGTAAGCTCAGAATAATACACAACATAAATCACAAAGACATAATGCATGATATCACAATACTCAATATAAGCACATAAGACCCTCCGGTCACACAAAGATTACCACTCTAGGTAAGTATAGTGAGAAGACTCACCTCGTAGAGTAAAGCAACGTATCCCACGCTCGAGCTGCTGGTCTAATCTCCGCCCCTCCGTGGCCTCCAAAATCCACAGTTGGCCAAAACCCTAAAGTCAGCGAAATTCAATAGTCAAACTGATCCAACTCTAAAAGTCAATGGAAGTCAACAGTCCATGTTGACTCAACTCGCCGAGTACAGCTCATGAACTCGTCGAGTCCTTCAAAACTCAATAAATCGCGAAACCCAAGTCCACTCGTCGAGTTGCTAACCAACTCGTCGAGTCCATGCAGTGCCCAAAGAACCAGAAAACCCCACCTACTCGTCGATTTGTCTCGTCAACTCGTCGAGTCCACTCTGAAACCATAGACGGGTAAAACCCTCTCAACTCGCCAAGTTGTCTCACCAACTCGCCGAGTCCGTAACGCGTCCAGACCATCGGGGTAACTCCTAACCGACTTGTCGAGTTGGCTCATCAACTCGTCGAGTCCCTTAAGTTCATTTTCCCATTCAGACGATTTAAGGCAGAACTACAACCCCAAACTCTAGATCTAGCCTCCCAAGGGTGAAATACCACATAAAGCCACAAGCTTTACGTCCATGCATGACACCTAGGGCTCAAGGTGCCAAAACACAACTCTATGGAGGGTTTAATGCATAAAAGCTCTTCTCTAGCTGGATAAAGCTTGGACCTTTGTATTGGATAAGGTGTCTAAGTCCATAACTATATTTGAGATGTACTTGACCCGACCCGGCATGGTCCATTTGGGTTGCACTTCACCCGAACAATTTATATGGATAATCTTTTGAGAATAGTATAAATTATGATTTATTAATATATTATAAGTTCTAATATATTAATATGAAATCATATTATTTAATTCGTATTGGTCTAGAATTAATTTAGAATTAATTTGGTGATCAAAAAAGGTGACTAATTAAATATGGACTCTTCTATTTATATAGTGTGGGCTATTGCTTATTTAGAATGGGTTAGGCTTGCATGGAAAGTCCATGGATAGTCCATGGAGCTTTTAACCCATGGATCTCATGGAAATGAAAAGTCATGGATATTAGGGTTTACATGGATGTAACTGTGACAACCGTCAAATTTCGGTCAAGTCAAAGTCAAACAAAGTCAACAAGTCAAACCGGTCAACTCCAATAACCCTTGTATGTTAGGGTTTACGTTATGTAATCACTATACAATTCGCTATTTTAATGAGAAATCATCATTTGGAAAGTTCATGTGTTTGATTTTCCTTAGCCTTAACAGTGCTAAACAACGAACCAAAACGATAAAACATTATTGCACACTCATCGGGAGTGTGTACGACACTAAAACACGGTTTAACGGGGTTTACGAACCTTGCGTTATGAAGCCGGACACTCAAATTAATCACAAACGAAACCTCTCTAAATCGTTTTCACTCTATCTCTTTCTATTTGAAATCTCTCCCAAATCTCTCTTAAAAGTTCCCATAACTTTTTGGAATCATTCGGGTCATCCCGACCCTTAACCGGGTCAAAAACCACTTGAAACAGGGTAAAAACGGGTAAAATAGCCTTAAGGACCCAAAACGGAAACTTCAGGACCGAAGCCTCTCATCCGAGGCCTCGGATCCGAAGCCTCTCATCAGGACCGAAGCTGAAGCCTCTCAGGAGACCGAATCCGAAGCCATCAGACAGCAGCCTCGCATGCGAGGGTCCGAAGTCTCGGCCCCCATCCGAGAGGTCTCGCAGACGGCCCCTTTTTACCGGTTTTTCGACTACGACTTCGTTTTAACTCTGTTTTTCATTATTTTAACGTGGTATTTTCACCCAAAACTTTATTTTATAAACTAAGGCCCCAAAATATATAAATCTCCAGGGTTTTATAAAAATATATTAAAAGAATTAGTGGTTGAACTAATTATTGAGGGAATATTTGCTTTTCCTTAATTTATGGCAAAAGCAAACCACCACCACCTCACTCTATGATTAGCCACTCT